ACCTGCCGGTCTGCAGAGCTGTCCAGCAGCCGACGCTGGGTCGTGTCGGGAGGGACCCCAAGTCTGCCTCCAGGGAGGTGAGAGGGGCCCATACCCCTTGGGGAGGTGCTGGGGAGGAGGGCTGGGTGGGGGCGCAGAGCCTGTGTAAGCGGGGCTGTACATAGAAAGCTCTACTGTGGGAAGGCAGGAGGGCGACCGGGCCGCAGCTGCTAGTGTGAGGGCTGGGAAGGGAGGGGCGTTCTCGGAGGACCCCGGGGAGGGGAGGGGTGCTGCTTGCTGGCTAGCCCACCTCTGGGCTAAGATGTCACAGGGCTGGTGGCTGGGGCGGCTCTGGGGACTAGGGGATCATGTGAGGGGATGGCTGTGGGCGACAGCAAATATAAAACTGGTGAGATGAACTCTGTGTCTGTCTGTCGGGGGGCTTTGGGGGTGCCGCCCCGGGGCGGGCGGGCAGGAGGCCAAATCAGACGCTGTTACGAAAGTGTACAAACTTTACTGGAGCACACACGCACGCGCACACCTGCGGAGAGGGAAGAGCACCTGGCCACAGGTCCACAGAAACTGGGGGGATGGCAGCTTGTAACGTGGCTCTCACCACAGCCCCCCTTCTGCCAGGGAGGCCTGAGATCTAGGCCCCACCGTCTGTTGTAGTGGGGGGACTCAGACGGAGGGGTCCAGCAGAATCCGGCAGGGCAGAGGTCCTGGGAGGCCTGAGCGGTGGGAGGGTCCCGAGGGCCTCAGTCCCTCCTCACAGCAGCTGTCTCGGGGCGGGGTGTCTGGCCGGGGTGTCCCAGCGCAAGGCCTCCCTGCTCAGACAGGTGGCGCTCTTCCTCCCACAGCGGTAGCCGGAAGGGCAGCAGTGCCGCCCATCCCGACAGCAGACGCCCTGGGTGGCCAGAGGGGTGTGTCAGAGCCAGCGGGCAGGCCCACCGTGCCCGCCGGGGCTGGGGGTGGCACTGACCTGGGGGTAGGGACAGCAGGCCCAGCTCCCCGCTCTGTCACGGCAGCAGGTCTGGTTGTCATGGCAGAAGCGACCGGCCTCACACTCCACGTTCCCCAGGCGAGGGCCGCGCACCAGGGGGGCGGAGGGGCGGGCAGCGCTGGCATCCTGGCGGGCGGAGGGGCGGGCAGCGCCGGCATCCTTCTCGCAGGAGCGGGCCTTCACGTTGCAGGTGTAGCCGGCCGGGCAGCAGTGCTGGCGGTCCTCGCAGCACACGGCCTGGGGGACAGGGCAGCAGCGTGGCGCCCTCGCCTCCCCCCCAAGTCGACCCCCTCCCCCAGGGCAGGCGGAGCACACTCACGTGGGGCAGCTGGCAACAGGCCCAGCCCCCACTCAGGCTTGGGCAGCAGGTCTGCCCCACCGGGCAGCTGGTGTGCTGGTCGCAGCCCATGTCTCTAGGGAGGGGCGGGGTGGCCTGGCGAGCGGGCACCTTCTGCAGCCCCGCCACCACCTTGTCCCCCTTCCGACACTGCCTCTCGGCTGTGCACGCGTAGCCGTGCGGGCAGCAGTGCTGGTGGTCTGAGCAGCAGATGGCCTGCAGGTGGCAGGAAACGCTGGTCTAGGAGCTGCTGTGTGGGAGGGAGCCCACACGCCCCCGCTGAGGCTTCTCCGGGGCAAAGGAAGGCGCAGGGGGTACGCCGCGGGGCCAGGCAAGGTCAGCACCCCACGCCACTACCCCGTGCACCTCGGGGACAGGACAGCAGCCCCACGCCCCAGACACGAGCCGACAGCAGGTATGGCCAGAGGGACAGCTGGTGACGTTGTCACAGGGGACTTCGCTCTCCACGGCCTGGGGGTACAGCAGGCTGAGGCGGGCTGGGGCCTTCTCCATCCAGGGCACCTGGCGCGCCCCCTGCTCACAGGTCCCCTTTTCTGTGTCACACCGAAACCCGGCCGGGCAGCAGTGCACATGGTCCTCACAGCACACGGCCTAGGGTGGAGAGGGGGCGGTGGACAAGGGGCCAAGCTGGCTGGCCGCCAGCCCCTGCTCCCCTGCCCAGCTGTACCCTCCGGTACCTGGACAAAAGGGCAGCAGCCCCAGGCCCCCGTCTGGAGGCGGCAGCACGTGTAGTCGTCTGGACAGCTGACCTCCATGTCACACTTCACCTCCCGCACTGTGAGGAAGGCAGGGAGGACGGGAGGCCTCAGAGGAGCCCACCCGTGGCTGGCTCCACAGCTGGAACTGGACGCCACCCAGGAGGGAGGGTACCTCTGACGCCACCTTGGCAGGGACCTGCTGGCCAGCCCAGTGCAGGAAAGGGGGCTGTGCCTGCCCTGGCCCCTCCAAGCACCGTTCCCCCCACCCCACTCCCGCGCTGGAACAGTGTGGTGGCCAGCTGTTCCTCTCTGTACAGGTGGCCGGCCGGGCCTCCCTGGGTACCTGTGAGCGCGGGCAGCTTCGTGAGCATGTCTGTGGCGTTGTCCTTGTAGAGGCACCTGCTCTGGGTCAGGTCGCACACGGTGTCCTGGGGACAGCAGTGCAGGTGGTCGGAGCAGCAGATGGCCTGGGTGGGGACAGCGGTGGGCCCCGGTGACCTTCCGGCTCAGTCGTGCTCCAGGAGCAGCCGGGCCCATAGCTGCCACTGCCCGGGTCCCCCACCAGGGGGTGGCATGAGTCCGCAGTGGCCAGGCCCTGCCTGGAGCCCCTGCAGCGCGCAGGCCAGATGGCTGTGGGCCCGGGGCTCGCAGGCAAGGGACCGTCACTCACATTGGGCATTGGGCAGCAGCCATACTTCCCACTGGCCAGCTCACAGCAGGTAGTATCATCAGGGCATTGGGAGCGACCGTCGGGACACAGCATCTCTGGAAGGTGAGAGATGTGTGCGTGGCAGCCCTGGCGGAGGAAACCTTTTCTGGCCAGGTGAGGCCTCGCGTCACTCCCAACCCCCAACCCGGAGCTCGCGTCACTCCCAACCCCCAACCCGGAGCTCTCCCACCTCCTGACCTGGCCCGTAGCTCCTCTGCGCGGGGATCTTCTTTGCCAGGGGGAGGGCGCCCATGGGCGTGAGGCAGAGGCCCTGCGCCAGGTCGCAGGCGGTGCCGTGGGGGCAGCAGTGCACCTTGTCTCCACAGCAAGAAGCCTGAGGAGAGATGGTCCCGGCTCAGCCTTTGCATGCTCCGGCCTCTCACGGCCCCTCGGCCCTCTCCCCGCCTCCTCCCTCCCAAACCTCTACCTGAGGCATGGGGCAGCATCCCCAGGAGCCATCAAGCATAGTGCAGCATGTGGAGGAGCTGGGGCATTTGAACTGGCTATCAGGGCACTGGACGGCACCCAGAAGCTCGGTATCTGTAGAAAGGATGACCCAGGATTCCACCAGCCCCATCAGTGGCGGTTAGCAGGGCACGGGGGGCTCAGGGATCACCTCAGCACCCCTAACCTTCTCCCTGCCCGCCACCCCCGCCTCAGGACGATGGCCCAGGGCAGGGGACCCACTGCCCGTGGGGTGGCACTGAGCCAGCCCGATTTGGCCCAGGCCTGGAGTCTCGTGTGCTCCTGCCCCCTCCAGCCCCAGGTCTGCCCCTCTGTCCAGAGCAGGGGGTGGTTTAGTGCGGATGCCACACGAATGAGGCAGGAACTGGCGTCACCTGCCGGCGGGTTCCTGGCCACACCGGGCTCTACGAGCCCGCCACCCCCACCCCTGCGTACCTGCTCTCCGGAAGCAGGAGCGCCCGTCGGCGCTGCAGTGGTAGCCCCGTGGGCAGCAGTGGTGGCCGTCCCCGCATGCCACGGCCTGTGGGGCAGAGATGCCTGTGTTGGCGAGGCTTTACCTGGGGAGCAGATCTGAGTACCTCCTCCCGCGACGAGCACCCTTACCTCTGGGAACGGGCAGCAACTGGAGGTCCCTGAGACGGTGAGGATGCAGGAGTAGCCGGCAGGACAGTGAGCGTCCACCTGGCAGGGCCTGCCCAGCTGCCGGCTCAGTGCCATGGGCCACTTGTCCTGGGGGGAGAGGGAAGGATAGACTGAGGACGCGAGCCTGGCCAGTCCGAGACCGGCCTTTGGGAAATGGCACGTGGCCACTCTCCCCTAGGCCGAAGGGCACTCACCGGGCCGGGACTGCAGCAGCTGTAGCTGGCTCCTCCTGGGTCCAGGCAGCAGGCCACTGGGCAGAACTGACCATCTGGGCACTGTGTTCCAGCCACCAGCCCTGCCACCAAGGCCACCCAGCTCACCAAGGTCCACATAGTCCAACTGCAAAATATCAAAGGGCATTTGGCAACCACCTTAAGCCCTTGCTGTGGGGCCAGTCGCTTTCCAGGCCCAGGCCCGTGGGTCTCCCCAGTACCTCTTGGTCCAAGTGGGAAGGTGTCGGGCCTGGGGTGGAGCTTCCCACACGTGTCCTGTGTGTCACACACATGCAGTGGGTGCACCCATGGGCACAGACACTAGTGTGAGCACATGGCTGCATGCAGGCTTGTGGGAGTGGAGATGTGGGTGAATGAAAGCAAGACTTGTGGGTTTCATGGGTCTCATCTGTGGGGACATGAGCCAGCCTCGGGGAGGATGGCTGGCATTAACCGCCATGAAAGGACAGGGCTGCCAGCCCCTCCTCACCCCATGGTGATGAAGGTTCACACCTGCACCCTGCCCAGGCCTGCAGGCGGGGAGGGGAAGCCACATACTGACATGGGAAACCACGGGGTTGAGAAAGTTGTGAAAGGGAAGTGTGGTGGCCTGCGGATTCAGCTGCCCGCCCACTGACTGTCCCGTTTCCACCCAAGGAAGGGCCTCACGGGCAGCCTTTGAGAGCCGTGTTCTAGGGGGTCCCCCAAACCATCAGTCTTTACAGACGTCCCTAATAACCCCCAGAGGCAGAAACTCAGCTGCACTCAAAAACACTGTGTGCACCCAGCGGCCTGGCAGGAGGAACTGGGCGTCCAGTCGTGGGGAGAGGAGCCTCTCGCCTCCTAAATATCTCTTCCCCAAACTCAGCCAGCTTTGCTAGCTCAGTCGGCCGGCCAGAGTCATGTAGCACGGCCTAGCTTGTTGAGCCTCTTGGGAGCCAGAAGAAAATAATGCCGTGTTAAATCTGCATTGTTTTCTTTTTTCTTCCAAAGTAAAAGTATTCCTTTTACTTTACTTTAAAAAAGAAAAAAGACTTGTTTATGCATATAGAACTGGGGTACATGCCAGAGGGGTGGGGGGTGGGTAGTGTGTGTGAGAGGATTCACCAAAGACAGAGCGGGCAGCGGAACAGGCAGATGGACTGCGGCACACTGCTGAGGGGGGCAGCGGGGGCCAGGCCGTGTGGGTCACTCCCCGGCCGGGGGTGGAACTGGTGACAGGCTTTCAGGTTCCAGAGCATCCTGGCATCATCTGGCACCATAGGCAGTGCCAGGGAGGGGCCCTAGTTCAGCAGGAGAACCAGTCAGCAGGGCAGAGTGGGGGTGCAGGGGCTTCCTGGTCACTGCACGTGGGTCCCAGTCCTAGAACTGCCACCACTGGCCGTGAGAGCCCGCAAAGCTGCACCCTGTCTCGGAGCCTCAGTTCCCAGGAGTCTACTGGACACTGCTGCGGGGTGAGGTGAGTTGCACCTGCTCAATGACTCACATCCTCTTTCCCTCAGCTGGCTTTCCTCACCCCCCCCCCTTTCCCCAAAGGACACGCTCCTGACCAGATAAGGATGAAGAAGTCTGGTCCTGGACAGCAGCCCCCTTCACCTCTCCTCCGGGCCTAGGGCGCCCAGGGAGGGACCGGCAGCTGGCCCCATCTGCTTACTGGGATCTGGCTTCAGAACGACCTGCACCTTGACCGCATCCAGAGAGTCTGCATTCAAGTCTCTATTTGGTACTCCTAGTGATTTGCTCATGTATATTTCCCTTCCTGGGCATGGGGGGGGGCGGTGCACGGCCTGCAGGCAAGGCATACAGTTCAGGAGCAGGGTGGGGGAGCGGGCCCCAATTCCTCTTTGTAGGGCCCTGAAAGGAGGCCTTCCCTACCCCACCCCACACTATCACCGCGGAGAGCAAGCCCCCAGCGCCATCATCTTCCACTAGGTGGCACCCAGGACTCTAAGCGCCAGAAAGGAAGATTCCCAGAAGGTGAGCCAGCCCAAGTGCGAGTAGCCAGGAAGAGAGAGGCGAACTTGGCTCGCCCCGCTCCGCAGCCCCCAAGAGGAAGCAGAGGACAGCCAGGGGCTCGGCCACCACTCCAAAGTCCTACAGCCGCCGAGGATGCAGGATCTTGAGTCCCACTCCCAACTCTCCGCGCTCCGAGACAGGTGCGGGCGCCTCTCCGGCCCCCAGCCGCCCTGGGGATTGTCCACTAGCAGCACGGCCAGCGCCGCCAGCGCCGGAGGGGCAGGAACCGGCGCCACCGATGAGGGGCCAGGAGGGCTGGGGGAGCCGGATCGAGAACGGAAGGGTCCTTGCTTTGGGTGCAGAAGCGGCAGCTCCAGGGCTGGTGAGAGAGTCCCCTTCCAATGGGAGGGGGGTCACTGCAATCACTTCCACTCCCCCCCACGCCCCAATAAATCCCCTGCAGTGCCTCGGAAACCGCCAAAGGAGTTGCTCTAAGCGAATCTTCCCTGTCTCCCCGCTGAGACTGCAGAGGAACCTCAAGCCCCGACGCCCCCCGGGCCGGCCCGGGTGAAAGCCAGGGAGGGTCCGCGCGAGCGCCGCGTTACCTGCCTCCGGGCGCGCACTCCAGGCCAGCAGCAGCCCCGCGGCTCGCAGACTGGGGGCTGGCAGCGCGGTGGCCTGCCCACCTCAGTCTCCATTGGTCAGGTGGCCGGGATGTCGCGTGGCCATTGGCTGCCGTCGGCTCGGAGGCGGGGCCAGTCGGGAAGCTCGGCTTCTTGCCTGCTCCAGCTACTCTCCCCTCCCTTCTCTCTCCCTACCTACCCCCATTTAAGGATCATGTGATTGGAGGATCATGTGATGCCCTGGCCGCTCACGCCGGCTGTGGTGCCGGCCTCGCCGCCTCCCCGGCAGCTACGAGTGCTGGGCGGAGTTGGCCAGAGCCGAGGCTGCGCGGGTCTGGGGATGTTGATTGCCAAGGGGGCTCGCGTAGCCGGTGCGTTCAGAGTGTTTTCAGGTAGAGGCTGGCAGACCACCCTCCAGCTTGGGGTCCGGGCTGGGGGGCGTTGTGAGGCCCTTTCCTCAAGGCCTCTGGGGAGACAGGCGCAGACTGACAAGGTTCAGGTCGTGTGCCAGGGACTACGGTGTCTGTGAAGAAGAGGCAATCGGTTGGCTCTACGCAAAAAAAAAAAAAAAAAAAAAAAA